GGCTATGGAACAGTTACTGCTCAGTCAAAGGAAGGCTACTTTGATATGTGATATCTTAGATCTTTAGGGCATTGTGCTTAGTGGAAAGAGCAGATCTCAGCAGATTAAACACTATCTGATTCCACTTGCACGCCATCCTTGGGATGACACAGCTTTCGAGATGGAGAAAGCAGGAGTAATGCCGGGGGACAATAGTAAAGGTAGTATTTTACTGAACAACATGGGACCTTTCTCTGTGGCGATGAAACAGTTCTATAGTATGATGAACATAGTGACTATACTAATCTATGTAGAGAGCCAGTTGTGCACATAGAAGCGCTCACAGACATAAGCTACATGTGTGAATGTGGGGAACATGGAATGAGGCCTATATCTAGTTAGCAATACTGTATCAAGTCAATCGCCTGCTTTGATACTACATTTCTATAAGATATCATCATTGCACGAAGCTGGATAAATGTTCAAGAGATTCTACTCCTGTGACTTCTGGTGAATTGATAAGTTACTTTAAAATAAGACGCATTAACATTTTACTGTGATTATTTTTCCCTTAAGACCCTTCTTATTGTTTTGCCACTTATTGGGATTGAACCCAGAACCTCATGAAATTAGTCAAGCACTGTTCTATTGAGCTACATGACCCAGTGGCAATACTTTTCCTTAAATATTCACACAACACAAAATTCACCATTTTATGGGAGACTAAGCCAGGAAGCTGATGGGTTCAGAGCTATCCTAGACTACATAATAAAAGTCTTTCTCAATAAAGCTCAATATTTGTAATGGGAAAAAAATAGGCTTTAAAAAAACTTTTTGAAAAAAAGTGGATTCTAGCCATAATTAAAGGTCTTTGAGCCTATAATTCATGATCCTAGAGAAGCTAAATAAGAAGGTGAACCTGAAGAAAATCATATAGTTATCCTCCTGGATATTGGAAGTAGACAAGATTGCCAGGCAAACTTGGGTGCACGGGGGTGGGGGTGGGGGTGGATGTAAGGGGAGATGGGTAGAGAGAAGGGAGAAGGGGGCGATTCAGGATAGCTTCGGGGAATGGGATGGGTGGGATGGAGGAAGTATGGATATGGGAGCAGGGAAGTAAATATCTCAACTAAGGGAGCCATTTTAGGGTTTGCAAGAGTCTTGATTCTAGAGGGGTTCCCAGGTCCAAGGAGAGGTCCTCAGATTGTTCCCTGGGCAGCAGAGGAGAGGGTGCCTCAACTGGCCTTGTCCCATAGCCACACTGATGAATATCTTGCATATCACCATAGAACCTTCATCTGGCGATGGATGGAGATAGAGACAGAGTCCCACATTGGAGCACTGGACTGAGCTCCCTAGGTCCAAATGAGGAGCAGAAGGAGGGAGAACATGAGCAAGGAAGTCAGGATCACGAGGGGTGCGTCCACCCACTGAGACCGTGGGACTGATCTAATGGGAGTTCACCAAGGCCAGCTGGACGGGGAGTGATGGAACATGTGATCAAAACGGACACTCTGAACGTGGCTGGCAATGAAAGCTGACTGAAAAGCCAAGGACAATGGCACTGGGTTTTTATTCTACTGCATGGACTGACTTTGTGGGAGCCTGGTTTGTTTGGATGCTCACCTTCTTAGACCTGGATGGAGGGGGGAGGACCTTGGACTTCCCACAGGACAGGGAACCCTGACTGCTCTTAAGACTAGAGAGGGAGGGGGAAGTGGGGAGGGGGAGGAAAAAGGGAGGCGGGGAAGAGGTGGAAATTTTTAATAAATAAATTATAAAAAAAGAAAGAAAAAAGGAGAAAAAACACCTAAACCAACCAATGAACCAACCAAATAAACAAAAACCCCAAATGTTTAAACTAAGATTTCCCCACAGCTTGCTGGGCCTGCTTTCTGACAGTAGCCAGGACCACCAGCTCAGAAATGGCGACACCACAGTGAACTGGCCCTCCAGAACCAACCATCGATCCAAAAAATGCATCCCAGACTTTCCCATGGGCCATTTTGGGTATTTTCTCAAATGAGATTCCCGTTTCTTAAATGACTCTAGCTTAGATCAAGTTGAAGTAAAACCAACCCAAAAATATATAGTAACTCAATGCTTATTTTTTTGAAGAATGTCAGTATTTTCCTAAAGTAGCTTCACCATTTTATATTTTCATAAGCAATGCCCAAGAATTCTGGTTTCCCAACATCCAATAGATAGTTGATGCTGTTTTTATAGTTTTAGCAGTGAAAGGGTTTCAAAGTGATACTGATTTGCATTTCTAGGGATATGCAGGCATTCCCCCATGAACCCTCCTTGTTACCTGCTCTCTAGGGCTGTGGCTTATAGCATAGCTGTCTTCTATTTTACAGCTAATATCCGCTTACGAATGAGTACATATCAAACTTGTCTTTCAGGGTCTGTGTTACCTCACTCAGGATGATTTTTTTTCTAGTTCCATTCATTTGCCTTCAAATTTCCTGGTGTCATTGTATTTACCACTGAGTAGTACTCCATTGTGTAAATGTACTACATTTTCTTTATCCATTCTTTGGTTGAGGGGCATCTAGGTTGTTTCCAGCTTCTGGCTATTACAAATAATACTACAATGAACATAGTTGGGCAAGTGTCCTTGTATAATTGAGATTCCTATGAGTATATGCCCAAGCGTTATATAGCTGGATCTCATGGTAGGTTGGATTTTGTCGAAGGATTTTTCAGTATCTAACAAGATGATCATGTATTTTTTTTCAGGTGTTTATATGGTGGATTACATTAACAGATTTTTGTATGTTGAACCATCCCTGCATCTCTGGGATGAGGCCTAATTGGTCATGGTGTATGATCTTTCTGATGTGTCCGTGGATTCGGTTTGCCAGTATTTCACTGAGTATTTTTGCATCAATATTCATGTGTGAAATTGATTTGTAATTCTCTTTGTTGAGTTTTTGTGTGGTTTGGGTATCAGGGTGAGTGTGGTCTCATAGAAAGAATTTGGCAATGCTCCTTCTGTTTCTCTTTTTTGGAATAATTTGAGGAGTATTGGCATTAGCTCTTCTTTAAATGTCTGGTAGAATTCTGCATTAAAACTATTTGGCCCTGGACTTTTTTATTTTATTGGGAGACTTTAATGACTGCTTCTATTTTCTTAGAGATTATTGATCTTGATTTAATTTTGGTAAATGGTATCTATGAAGACATTTGCCCATTTCTTTTATATTTTCAATTTTGTGTAGTACAGGTTTTTGAAGTATGACCTAATGGTTCTCAGGATTTCCTTGGAGTCATGTCCCATTTTTTGTTGTTTCTACACTCTTAATTTCATTTACTTGACATAATTTTCTAATGAACTATTTTTCCTGACATACACTGGACACAATCGTGATGGCTAATCTTACTTGTCAACTTGATAACATCTGGAATCAATTAAAACTCAAGATGCTGTCTAGTCAGCAAAGGATTTTGTTAATCAGATTATCTGAAGCAGGAAGGCCCACCCTAAATCTGGCTCACACTTTCTGGTGTCAGTTCACATAGAAGAACAAGGAAGAAGGAAGCTTTGCTTTTGTCTGCTTGCACCCTTTTGTTGGAAAATTCATTTATCCTGTTGTGAGGCATTCCTTCACTGGTATTAGAATCAACTTCTGTGTGATTTAACATAGACTGAAGATCAGAAGCCCTCCAGGAATCCATAAGGGCTCCAGCACCAGATTGGGAGTGCTGAGACATCCAGCCTAGCAGACTGAAAAACTACTAGAGTCTCTGCTTTCTTGTATTCATTCTACAGTTCTGTTCTTTAAAGAACCATGCCTATTTTGTCTGGTTTAAGAACTAGTTTGATTGGAGGACTATGGGACATTACTTAAGGAAATTTGATTGCACTGGGGCTGTAGTGCAGTATCCTGAGTGATTAACATGCACAATACTCTGGCATGATCCTCAGCACTACATCAAACCAGGCGTGCCGGCACATGACTCTCTATAATCCACGTTTCTGGGAAAGAAGGCAGGAAAATCAGATTTTCAAAATTGTCTTCAGCTATCTAGTAGTGACTTAGAAGCTAGATAGGTTTGTGGTCAGTGTACAACAATGTGTACTTGTGTGACAGGGTTCTGTGTGACAACGCCATGTACAATGTACATATATACGCAGTGAGGTGCTTCAGAGAAAAAATGGAAATCAAACTGATAAATATGCCCCTAGAAAATGAGGGAAGAGACATGGTAGTGATTTAGGTATGTTGAAGAGAACTTTGGTTTGGAATTAGTGAGACGTGGGTTTGAATGCTAGTTGTGTACAAAAGTGTACGGCTTTGGACAAGTTACTAAATTTCTAAGGAGTCAAGCTAATGGTAAATGCGGATGATGGTAAATACAATCTCATAGGGATGGTGTTAACACTGGGGCAAAAGATGTGAATATGATGATATAGCATATAGCAGTTATTTGACATCAAATTAACTTATGGCTGTTGAACAGTCTGGCCACACCCCCCTTCTGGTCCAGGATGGTTTCTGTGGGATCAGAAGCAGCAGCTGCTCTGTGGACATCTGGCCCAGTTGCTGGGCTTTTGCTCTACTAAGAAGCAGCTGTGCATCCATTCCTTCATCCTTTATATCAAAAAGCATCAAGGATGGCTGAAGAAAAGAAATGGGTTGTCTGTACATTAGCAGAACTACAGGGTGACTAGGAAGGAGCTGCTCAGTGCTTTATCCTGGAGCTTCATTGTTGGGGGTGAAACAGCGGGACTGCACTGCCATCTGAAACACCAGCATAGCTGACAGAGTCCTATCTGAATTCGGAAACCACAGTTCAGGGCCCCTGCTGACCCAGGCCTTAAATCATAAGGGCCTGGCCTTAGGGGATCCAAACCAGTTCTGTTCTAAGTCGAGCTTCCAAGCTTAAACCTAAATACTAACGACGGCACCAAAGTTTGTGGGGAAGGGGCACAGAGTTCGTTGTCTTCTCATTGCTTTTATTATGAAGTTGATGACCGATTTCCAAGACTCTTAAACTGGGTCATCGTCATAAAGCACCAAGGTGTGACAGAGCTACCCCCTCTGTTAGTCAGCCTTCACCAGTCCTCTCCTGTTTTCCCTTTACCCAATCATCTTGGCTACATGGGTGGGGGTTCAGTTGCTGGACTGCCGATTCATTCAGCACTTCTGGCTCGGTTGGCATCTCTTCACATCTTTAAAATCTGCCTCTGTCCTCAAATTCTCCCTTCCCTGTGGCTTCCCTCCGATCTCTTCTGGATTTGAGCTGTAGTTACAGAGATTCTGGTTCCTGTTATATAATTGTTAACTCCTGGGTCTCAGAGAAGCCATATTCCACTTTGTACTGGTCAAACAGCTTGCGTAGGGCACTGATGTAAAGCTCAAAGTACTTTGTCACCGTCTCCTTGTCGGGATCATTGATCTTGGGGATTGGCAGGGGTTCTCCAACTATGGAGGAGAAGAGACAAGCATCAGAGTCCCTACCCCAACACCACCACCCACACCTCAGTAAGGAGCCCATTCCAACGGTATCCAGGGCTGTTCCCCTCCCTTCATTCTTCCCTCTTGTTGCAGCTATGTTTTGGAGCTCATTCTCTGGTCGCTTAAGTTTCACCAATGTTCCAGAGAATGAAAACAAGCACAGGAAAGAGCTGAATGAGTGTACTTGAATAAGGATATTTCTCGGACAGCCGATGAGCTCTGTCCCACCTATGGATGCTCCCCACTGTTTGGCTGCCCTTCCCACCCAGCTTTTGGCTACACCTATTGCAGTGCCCTTAGTAGACCCTGGTTGTGAGCCAGATTGCCTGGGGATTGGTGGGTGACTTTGGGTGGCAGACTAAGAACTTGAGTGGCCTAGGAAAAGCAGAAAGCTTACCAATGGTGGTAATTGGGTGATTGAAAGGCAAGAAGCCCCAGGACCCCCGAGTGAGGCCCCTGCCATGGAAAGTGCAGAAATTTAGGCCTAGGATTGCTTTGCCAATTTTCTGGAAGTTTTTTTGGAAGAACCTTAGCCATGTGCCTTCACGGAAGGTCTCTTGGTTGAAAACCTCATTCTCACCAAAGGTGTAAGATGGTACAAGGTATGCCCTGCAAAGAGAAGGACAGCAGTATGAGTTGAGGCAGCCCCCTCACCCCCAGCAACACTCTGTCTGAGGCGGGAAACATCCCCAACCTCTGAACAATAGGATAAGATTCCAAGCACCCAGACATCTCCAGCCTCATGTTTCGTTCCTGCCATACCACTTCCTCCAATGGAGCATCAGTGTGGCTGCTGCGTCTTAGCCCATGACGGGAAGAAGTAGCTCAGGAGACTTAGCACCTTCATTCAGCATCCAGCATGATCTCCCCAAACTACACAGGCATGCATGCCACTCCTCTGCTTGAAGGTCTCCCAGAAGTCCTCACTGCAGCCCTCACTGCTTAGCACAAGCTCAGTGCCCTCGCCCTTTCTGTGTGGCCAGGTTCCCCACTACTTAGCCACAGTTAGTGTTCTCTCACCCATCTGTATGTTCTATTCCCTCTGCCTCCTCTCTATGTGACAAAGGCCATTTGACCATTCAGTACTCTGATTCCCCACTGCGGATTTGTCATCCCTCCGCTAGTGATTTTCTCTCTCCTGCTTTCCCAATCCAAGCCCTGCCTTACAGTCACCTCCTTACCCGTCTGCCCAATCAGAAGTGAAAACCCTGACGGTTCTCATTGAATCCTTGGGGTCTGGTCTGGGGCAGTGCTGCATATATCATTTGGTTCCTCATCCAATGCCTGAGCGTTCACTTCTGTTTGTTTACTGGATTTGTTTTGAGGTGCTGAGGATTCAGCCCACAACCTTGCACATGCCAGGTAAGTACTTTATCACTAGGAGGAACCCCAGGCCTTTAATTTTTTTTTAAGCTGGAGACAGGATCTTGCCAAGTTGTCCAGGCTGGATTCGAACTTGTAGCCTTCCCTCTTCAGATTCTAGAGTAAGGAGGATTACAGGCAAGTGCCACAATGTCTGGCTCTTTTCCCATTTGAGTCTGACTGGCAATTCCTACTCATATTTTAACTTTAACACAGTTTAGATGTCACTCTCTGATGAAAGATTTAGTCTGGGCCAAGGTCTTTCTATAAATTGATGCTGGCATAGCAATTTGCATATGTCTCCCGTATCACTTGTCATTTTCCCAACCCATTTCCATTGAGTTCTTTCTTTTTTTTTTTTTTCTGTGCCAGCACTGTTTTAGGTCATGGGGACACATCAGTGAACACAAAGGATGAGGGAAAATCTCCATACTCATGGTGTTTACCAGCAGTGGTGGAGGAGGCCATGGGAAGAACAGTAAGTAGTGCACAGCTTCAAGACCTTTTGTTCTGTGTGGCCTGGGGCTCATTGGGGGCATTTTGAGATGTGATACAACTTGACTCATGGTTACCAGGATTGTTCTAGCGACAACTGGGAATAGAATCTTGGTGGGGGAAGCAAGGACAGAGACAGAAAGAGCAGTTCCAAGTGTTGTAATGATCCAGTAGAGAGCTAATGGGTGCTTAGACCATGGGGATAGTAGTCGGGATGGAAAGTAGTTGGAGTCTGCACATGTTTTTTTATGATATGTGCATGTATTTGTCATCTACATTCAACTGTGAGTCCACAAGTGCCAGGTATTGTTTAGTCCTGTATTTCATTGTCCTATACTAACCTTGACACACCGTAGGTATTTGACAGCTGCTGAAAACACTCTCTGGGGGCATCCCCTGAGCAGCCATCCCCTGAACTCTCAGCCAGTCCCTTCATTGCCCTTGGGTGGCCCTCAGGGCCTCTCAGTGAATGAGTTAATTTAGAACAAAGCCACTCTCTCTCAGAGCGCCAGACTAGTGGACCCTTTTCTGCTCGTCTTTCCCCAACTTCAAGATCTAAAAGTGCCCACCAAGTGCTTGGACATTCAAATAATGCGTCCCCCCACCCCCGCAGTCATAATGTAAAGGGTAACAGGAAATATTCAGAGGAAAGGGGTATCTAGCAGGTTTCCCAGAGAGCTGTCATTGTAGATAGAGCTACAGAGGGCTAAGGCACCATGACAAGAGAGTCCCCGGACCTAGAGACCCACCCTGTCTTCAGTGCTAGCTTCACAAAACCTTTATGATTTTTGAGGTAGAGTGTGGAGACTCCCGGGCGGCACAAGAGGGCTTCAGAAGCTCCACCCACCACAACGATCACAGCATTGCCTGAGCCTTTCTGGGTCAGCTTGTGCTTCAGGGCCATCTCACTCACTGGACATATACCTGTGAAACCAAAGAGTCAAGTGGATAGAATGAACTTGGAGCCCAAATGTGGGAGAAGGCTTCTCCTGGGATCTTCCTGCTAGAGACAGTTACCACCTTCTATCTTTGGTCTTCACGCCTTGGGTTAGCCCTAGCCTGAGAAGGTATTCTTAGTGGCAGCTGTTTGCTTACCTTGGTAGGACTTCAGGCTTCTATGGTAAGGGCTATACTGATTTTTTTCCACTAGCTTTCATAGTCTCCTGTCTTCCAGATGAACCCTTTCCATCTCTCCCCACAGACTGTAGAGCTATCTTACTCTCTATCCAGGCTGACCACTCTGGAAATCCCTCAGCGGTATTTCCTCTGGAGGTGATCAGGCTAACCACCACCAGTGTGCTTCCTCCCTAAGAGTAAGCTGCCAAAAAGGATCCTTTGACTAGGATTTTGGGTGAGCAGGCAGTCAAGCCAAATTGAAAGGTAGATGAACAATGGAATATGAATGGCATTCTGTTGTTCAACAAAAGCTGCAGACATTCATCACTTTGAAATCCCATTTTTGCATTGAATTCATCTTTTGTTCTCTACTGGGATGGCAGAATTTACATACAAGGTCTAGCCATTGAGAGAAACTCTTGCACCTGGACATACCAACCTAAGAGGGGAGCTGAACCGTCTCCTGGAATTCCCCTCAAGATAAATGTAGCTTACCTTTAGTTTGCTTTCAGATGTTTGCTGATGTCCAGAAAGATAAACATTCATCCAGAGAGAAAGGAATCTGTCACAGTATCCTGGTTTGAAGCCTGGCACTGAGAAGTTGTCCTGAATTCTGATGGATGATTATTCTTTATCCTTTGGCATATTAAGCAAGGATGAAGGGATTCCCAGAAGAAGCAGGACATGGACCCAGATTGTATATACTAAGTGGCACGAGAGACTTTATAAAGTCTTTACGGTGCCTTGAAAGGAGAGCTGAAAGGGGCCAGTTGCCATCTCAGGAAAGAATCTAGCACAATTTCCCCTGTATTCACATTTAGTATGTTGCTGTTATTCTCCGCTTTCCATTTGGGCTTGATTCTGCACTTAGCCTTCTGATTACCCTTTGTAAGGAATCCTGGCAACTTGAGAATGTCCTTGCCCAATCGAACTGCCTCTCATACTTTGTACAGAAACTGATGCTAGGACACATACTCCCAACACCAGCTGAACTCTTGAACAAAGTCAACCGAGTTTTCTATCACAAAGTGACTGTGGTGCTTATTGGGGTAGACATCTTGCATTGTATTTCAGAATGGGATGATTTCTTGTACCTACCCATGGACATTACATATTCTCGCACAATTGGGATCCAGAAGATTCCTTCCAAAGTTGCTAAAAAGGGAGTGATCGATGGGAAAATCCTGGAAAAGCCAGTGGCCTCAGTAGCAAAGTTGACGAAGGCACCAAAAGAGAGAACACCATGGGGGTGGCTGACGATGATGTAGTTGCACTTGGGAGAAAGGTCATGGGTCTTCACCAGCTGTTAGAGGAAGATTGAGGGAGACTGATGAAGCAGAAGGGAGAAAGGATGGGAAAACCCAGAGCCAAGCCAACAGCCTCTAGATCCTTGCTCATTAGGATGTTATTGTCTTGGGGATCTCCAGGGATCGTGGTGCTAAGCGCTGCTGGCCCAGGTTTGACACGGTGGAAAAGTATTGCTCACCTGTCTCCCCACCTGCCCATCTATTTTGGGTTTATGTTCTTCATCAGGCTTCACTGCTGGTCGTCAGAGCCCTTGAAAACCTGGGTCTCCTTATGGAGGGGGGAGTTCAAGCAATAAGGAGCAAGGGCATCTGGAAGATGGGCACCCAGAGATAAGGTAGTTAGTTACCTTTACTGGGAAGTAGCTTTGGAAATACTTCCAGAGAGTCCAGTTTCGCACCCACGCTGAACGCCTACCGTCTGTGGACAAAGGACAAAGAGAAGAATGAGTGAGCCATTGCTAGTCCCTCTGCCCCTCCCAGAGGTGAAGAAGAGTTTGCCCTTTGTTCCTCGGGCTACAGAAGCAGCTTCATTGTTAGGCTCTTAAAGCTCTGAGGGAAGCCAGCCAGACCTTTCTCCTCTTCTCCTCATGGTTCCATCCACTTCCCTCTTCCCTGTTCCTATGACTCCACCCTTAGCACAGAAGAGACCACAACGCTGCCCACATCTCTTACCTTGACTGTGCGTGTTCCAGTCACAGACAAGCCAGATTAAGGAGAGCACGGCTAAGGGCCATAAGCTACTGAAGAGCAGGCAATAGGGTATACCTAAGATGGGAATAGCTCCTGAGGAGACACAACCGATACATGCCCTTCAGTTTCACTCGAGGCTTGATACATCTCTCACAGCCTCCTGTCACCTCTGCCTCTCCTCTGAGGGAGCGGGCAAGGCTGCTGCGGCGACCTTCTTTTCTTTCCCCTCAGCCATTGCCTATCTCTTGCTCTGCCTCAGGCTGCTGTCAGGGTCCTTGGATCTGGGTCCTCCTGAAGTTTGAGATGAAGTTCTTAGAACAGGCCTTCAGCTTGAGTCAAAGGGCAGAACTGCTTGGCAAAAGGGAAGAGAAGCACATTGGGCTGGTGGCTGACTGTCCTCGCCCTGGCAGTTTGGGAAGTTCCTTATAAAAGCTAGCTTTTCCTTGCTTTGTTGAGGACACTGCCTACCTGCCGTGTCCAGGCAGAGTGACGCTGCGAAGAAAGAGTAGATTAGAAACTGCTTTATTGTATTTATTCTGTTCCCTTCAAAGGGTTCCAAAATGTTCAGAAGAGGGGAGTGTGACTCTGCTAGCAAAGAGACATGACAGGCTGGAAAATGCAAACATGTTACACCTTACAGCAGTAACATAACACTTTATTTGTTAAATAAATTTGTTTATTTAATAAAAAACAAATTTATTTATTTATTTATTTATTTCTCCTGAGATGGAAGCCAGGGCCTTGTTCATGCTAGACAAGTGCTCTACCACTGAACTACATCCTCGGCAGTGGGATCCACCTTGAATCAGCAGGAAGTCTTCGGACACTTGCTGAGTACTCCAGAGTGCAGCTCACAGAGTGCAGCTCACAGAGCGCAGCTCACAGAGCGCAGCTCACAGAGGCCCTGATGTTGCCAAGACACCAACACAGGCCAGGCTTAGCAGTGCACCCCTTTAATCCCAGCACTCAGGAAATAGAGGCAGGTGGATCTCTACCAGTTTGAGGCCAGCCTGGTCTACAGAGTGAGTTTGAAGACAACCAGAGCTACATAGCAAGACCCTTTCTCAAACAGACAAATAAACAAAAAAGACACCAAAACAGCAAGTATGTTTTTGAGATGGTTTCTCAGGGCTAGCCAATCCAGTGCTGTGCATCCAGTATATCGAGGAGAGAGTTTTCTTGTGTTTGCTTCAGCTAGTGCCGCTGTGGTGCTGGATACAGCCTTTCCCCAGCTCCTCAAAATGTCCAGGGCGGTGCAGATTTTCTGTCACCTCTCTGACTCCCACAACTGCTGTCAGTGTTCCTACACATGGGGAATGGGGAGCTCCCCAGACCATGCCAAGCCCTCTGATACCTCCTTTAAACTTCCTCTACTGCTTTGTGATGTTTCCTATTTGACTTTGACATTTAAGCTAGAATTACCAGGGAACCGCCCACCTCTTCTGATAGCTACTCTTTAGCTTTCTCCAGTCTCCAGTCTTCGTGTAGACTCCAGCAGACCATGTCTGTATGTCAGCACTATTTTCTCACCACAAATATGGGATTTAAGAGGTAGAAGAGGTGGTGCACACCGGTGATCTTAGCAATGGCAGGAGGACCAAGAGTTTAAGGACATCTCTGGATACCTCATGAACCTGGGCTACATGAGACTCTATCTCAAGGAGAGAGAGAGAGAGAGAGAGAGAG